GAGAATGACTGCTAGTGCAAGCCACCGCATGAGACACCCGATCATCTAGTATATAGTGCCCGTTAGATTCATAACCTCTACCAATAATCCGCCTCATCAAAAGATCCTGTATCAAGCAATGAGAAGGAAAAAGTGAGACCCAACAGTTTAGTTGACGGGTGAGTTTACTGGGAGATAGGAGATTAAAAGCAAGTTTAGGGACATTTAGCACAGATGACAAACAGATAGAGGGTGTGGGATTAACAGTGCCAGAACCGAGAACTTGAGACTGGGAACCATCAGCGATGGAAACACTTGACGGATTAGTAAAAGCATTATAAGAGGAGAAGAGATGGCGATTACCTGTCATATGATCAGTAGCCCCGGAATCTATCATCCACTTTGAGGAAGAAGAAGCAAGGGCAGTAGCATTATTACCTGTTGTAGCCACGGCACTCACAGACGGTGTAGCAGATTTTAACTGGGCATACTCAGTGGCAGAAATTGTGACTGTGTCACTGGCTTGGGTAGCCACGTGGGTAGAGTTATTTTGTTGTTGTTTATTCTGAAGTTTTCGACATGTGCGTTTTGTATGCCCTAGTTCTTTGTAGTAATAACACACTACCCTACTGGAGTCAGAAGGGGCTCCCCCTTGCTTCGAACCACCACAGGTAGGCCCCCCGCGGTTATCACTGGGACTATTGAGCAAGGCACTTGTAGGAATACTAGCAACTGGTGGCAAGAGATTCTCAGCTCTCATTACTCTGGAAAACACATCTTGAAGATTAGAAATCTCAGATCCGGATAAGATTTGAGAGCAAACTGTGTCGTACTCAGGTGGGAGACCAATAAGAAAGCTCATAATAGCCATTTGCTCCCGTTGCTTATGCTGAACCTTCAAATCAAAAATAAGAGGCATTAACACATTCAGCTCTTCATACATCCTCTTAAAGTCCATAAAGTAGGCAATCCTATTTTTCAGAATGATAGAAAACTTTGCAGACCTCGTAAACACGAGAGATATTTCCTTTTCCTGAATACAAAAAATCTAAATAATCCATTAGTTCCTTAACCAATTCATAGTGATTAATAGAAGGAATCATCTCACTATCAATGGAATTACGGATCTGGAAAAATAGCCGTGCATCATCCCGCAACCAAGCCTTTTTTGAATCAGTTGTTGGAGGATCATCGGTCAGATAGTCTTGCTTCTTAATGCTTCGCAGATAGAGGCAAATGGTTTTACTCCAATCCAAATAATTTACCCAAGTCAACTTGTGATCAGTAATTTTAGTAACAGTTGGGACAAGCTCCGAGACAGATTTAATTTCAACCATAGATGAAGTGCACTAACCAAAAGGAATGTGAAAGAGTGTCACACAAGGACACAAAGCACGATACCTGGATCACCTAATGAATACCAAAGCAATGAAAAGACCAACAGCTACATAGGGAGCTGCAAACAGAACCGAATTGCACAAATAGAGTGCCGGAGACGGGCCAGAAACAAAACAGAACGCCAGAAAGCTAATGAACAGTATAGACACCGGAGTGAACAGTGCAGAACGCCGAAAAATCTATGAACAGTGCACCACGCCGTACCCACACCAAGGAAGTACCACAATCTCGCCGAAAATCAGGTGTCGTTGTCGATCGTCGAAGTCGCCGATGAAAAGGGTGTCTCACGCACCATCACGTGCCAGCGCGTGAAATTTCGATGAACTTGCAGGAGGCGCGTGAGAGTCACGCGTTGGTCAGATGGTCGTCGAACTTCAGTGGTTGGTCGTCCAGAGGAGGGAAGAAGGTTGGGCAGGGCGGTGACACTAAAGGAAGCGTCGGGAAGGGGGGTCACAAGCTCACATGGTAATTTTGGTACTGTAGCAACCGAAAATTACCACCCAGAAAAAAAAAACCCCACGCTCTGATACCATGTAGATTATAGAATAATATGGAAAATAATTCTCTTGTATTTCATTGCTTAGAATATGCACATATATATACAAGTGGGAGGAGCCTTTGCATTAATGGCTCATTATGATAATATCATATCATATCAAATCCTAATCATAATTACATAATATTTACATAATATCATATCATATCTCTACAATAACCAAATAACAAAACTATGGGAAAAATGGCAGGGGTCCGCCTCTTCCAATTGGTGCCAACTTTTCACAAGTGCTTGAAAGGGCTCATGATATACCATTTTCAATGTTCATAAAATCCATATTGCAGTTTATAGACCGGGTTGATACTAAATTCTTTCAAGACATCCTGAAATATCTGAGAGCTTTGGACTTACCAGATGTTTCTCAGGATCAGGATGAAACATGATGCTAGAAACAACTCCTTCATGACATGTAAAGTAATGAGTGCAGCATCCACCGTTAATATCCCAAACAAGGACCTTATGGTCAGCTCCTCCTGTAGCAAGCAATCCCCCAGATGGGTGGGATGCCATTGACGTAATGGGACCATCATGACCCTGTCAAATGTCAACCCTGCACATGAGATAAAATGAATAAGTCTGGAATACGAGCTGCCCGATTCAAAAGCACTAGCAATTACCTTCCAAGAACGAATGCATTTGAGGGTAGATAAATCCCAAACCCTAATTTGATGGCTATGACTCGAGGAGAAAAGTAACTCATCATTTGGGCTAAGGGCCAAGGCTGTAACAGCCTCAGTATCACCCTAAATGGTTGACCTTATGATTGCATTAGCCAAGTCAACGATCTTGATGGATTCACCGCACACACAGGCGATGAAGGAACTGTGGGAGGAGACGGCAAAAGGTCCGCCAGTGTAGAACTGGGGCATAGCAGGAACGCAGCGGTGGTTTCTTTTCAATGGAAGGGATTCCATCGTTGTTGCCTCGTATCAATTTCTGTGAGAATCAATTAGTCACTGATTTACCATGGCATCTTCCCAAGAGGAAACTAGGGTTTAAGGAGGGTTTTGGTAGCCGTTAGTTTTGTGGGCATGTAATTGAAGAAATATTTTTTATCTGAGTTATTATTATTGTTTCCTTAAATTGAAGAAAAGTAAATTTTTTCCCTCCCTCGTTGTTATAGCTCAATCTCCATAGTTTTGGCTTGTGAAAAGAAATCAGTGGTTAAAATTATTAGGAATCAAATTTTAACAAGGTTGATCGAATTGTATCAGACTAAAATTAAAGGTCATAAAATCAATTTTCCCCTCAACGTATTATGATTGCAAACAAGAAAAATGACCCCAAAAATTGCTTCTCGCAGCAGTGTTAAAACCTTTTTCCGTGTTTCCTCTTCGCAGAACACTTTTGTTTACAAGTAACAAAATTTAAATGCTTTTATATTATTAAAAAAATCACATAATTGCAAGGGGGTTATGATTTTTTTTTTTCACCTCAAGGCTTAAGGTCAAGGGTTGTGACTTTGACTGTCGGTAATGATAGAAAAGAAGAAGGTTGGCAAAATAAAAAGAAAGAAAAAAAGCTGGGGATTCTTCTGATTTAATCATACACACACATATTTATTATTATCTCTTTATGTAGGATTCGTTTGGTTGGAGGACATAGGAAAATGGAGCCTTATTTGGTTGGGAAAATGGAGAGGATCAGGTATTCCCCGGGGGGGTTGAAAAATAGAAAGCCTTATTTGGATTAGTTTTTGATCGTATTAAAAAAAAGAGAGAGAGAATCGATATTGAGCAGAATAGATTTCAGGAAAAGAGAGAAAGAAAGATATTCATAACACGAAGCGTCGGATTACATGAAAAAGGGTACAACAACAAAGGAAGGTGAGCAAACGAAGTAGTTCTTGCCACATTAGCAAGAACTGGTTGGAATATTTATCAATGTGAATGGACTCGGCAGGAATTAGCATCGTTCTGAAGCTCAGAAATTGTAAATTTCTGCGTTAATCGTTCTTTGAATCGAACTAAATGCCGATTAGGTTGAGTTTTGTGTAGATTGAGATGAGATGATCTAAATGTGCATGATTTTAGTTTAATCATTCTTTCCTTGCTTTCCCCCGTTTTTTTCCTAATGACTTTTCTAATGCTAGATCGTAAACAAATTATGAATCTGCGGATAAAAATCAATAACGAGATCGAAGTATAGAAACTGCAGAAGAAGTGAAGGGAACGAAGTCCAGCAACCAAAATACCAAAGTTTAATTAGTGGACCAACAAAAAGTGCAGATAGAAATCAATATCAATCAATTGATTATCAATATCTGATATTTTATGAACAATACGTGTTTAATAATACATACATATATATATAAAATCTACAGGAATTCTCAAACTGCGTGCAATAGCTCATAGGCCATAAATTTTTTAAAAAGATATCTAGTACCTTAAATACATGGCATACGCAACGTCAGATTTTATGCAAATGCATTAGGCAAACTGTAACTGGATATAGACTAATTAAGAAGGATTACCATCATCACTAGACATGATATTCATAATCATCAATAAAACTATTCAATCTCTTCCAGTTAAGCCGATCCCCCATGCCGGCTCCTAGGTGGCTCCTAACTCAATTTACTGTTCATAATGGACTCATGGCTTGGGTAACCAATTTAGAAGTTGCATTCGGCTTCGTGCAAGCCGTAATTATATGTTGGCTTATGTTGGCTTCGTGGTCAGTGTGTTGAGCCATTCTTTTTTATTTACCTGATATGAAATATTTGAATTATCCCGCCAACTCCTGACCTCCAAATATGCTTGGGTAGGACATTGTGTGCCCTCACTTCCCTTCGTTGCCAACCTGGTATGAAGCACATAGTGAGTAATACTTATTAATGAGCATCCTCAGCTACTGAAGATGGTTTCCTCGGATGAGGAGACATTCCTACCTTTATTTTGGTTCAGGTAACAAGTATCTTCTCTGATAAGGATTTTTCAGGAATAGTCTACTCCTTGTACTTAATGTGCTTTCTCTAACACCAACTTTAAGGTATAATATGTATCGTTCGTGTATTCCCCTTTGGTTCATGCAATTCATGGGTTTTTGCATAGTGGCTCCTTCAAGATCAGCCATATATCAATATTTCCTGTTCTCCAAGATCAGCAAGGCTGAAGGATGCCACAGTGCAGGAGAGGATTTTGTGGTGTCTTGATAAGCAGAGGTATTTTTCGATGACTGGTTTCACAGTTCGAAGGTCAAGGAGTGCATGAACGCTTTCTGTTTGGACAGGAGACAGTGATATGCAAGTCTTGGGAGCCATTCCCAGAGCTGCTAATGACGTTACTTGTCTATGCGACCCTGACGCTTGGTTAGTGCGTAAGTTGTATGATTTTGGTCTTAGTTGGTGGTGGCTTATTACCACTGACCAGTAGTTGCTGCCTGCAGAGGTATGCAGTATTCTGAAGTCATTCAGTCGGCCATCGATGGAAGGATAGAGAGGTATGATGAATCTAGTATTAGCCACAAAGATTATGAACGTCCATTTCATGCGACTGTTGCTTTATTTTTGCACTTTTATGCGGTTTAATCTATGACAGAACTTTCGTCCATAAAAGAACAACCAGAATGATTCCAACAACGCTTACATACTTATAGTTGCTATGCTGTTTATATTTATCGACGCTAACTAAAATTTTCTAAAATTTCCTGGAGGTGATCACCTCGAAGTGTTGGCCATCCATGGATGAAGGAAGTGGCTAATCTGAATGGCTTCAGGAAAATGGTGCATTCCGGCTCCAGCTAGGACAAGTGGATAACATGCTCACTACAAATAGTTAGCAAGATAATACTTTTTTATTATTCCTCAATAATCTTTATATGTAAAAATTTGTAAATCTCTTATTATGTAGATTATGAATATGAATTATGAATCAAATTTGTTTTTATGTGCTTATAATTAGAATGAATTTTGTGATCTTTCTCACACTTATGTTTTTCTCCAAAAACATGGGTGTGAAAGTTGAGTCAACTATTTGTTAACTAATATTTAATATTCAGTGTGTAAGGCTTTGTTTGGTTAGGGTTTTTTTGAGGGGAGGGGAGGGGAGGGAAGAGGGAGGGGGGGGGAGGGGAGGATGTGTTTGGTTGGGAGGAGGGAAGGGGAGGGGAGCTAAAAAAATTTGTCCTTTTGTGTTTCCCTCCCCTCCCCCTCCTCCCCTTCCAAATTGGAGGTTTTTGAAGGGAAGAGAAATATTATGAGAATCTTGACAAATATGCCCAAGTTATTTTTTGAATATTTCAGTGGTGCCCTCTTGGTATTTTTTTGGTTTCACATGATTACCTTCGCATTCCTTTTTGCGGTCACTCAGTTATACACACACAAATATAATATGCATATATGTTAATATATTAATTACTTATATATATTAATATATATTATAATTATAAAATGACACTGTTAATATCATATATATTTTTTATTTCCTAATATGTGGAGGGTATTATTATATAGTTAAGGTCTTGTCTTTTTTTCTCCCGTTCACTTTTCTCATATATATTATACTTTTATTTCATAATTTTTTTATCACATATAAGTGAGGTAATTGGTTTTTTTGAAATTGATAAATTAGGAAATAATAATTTTGATATAAATATTATAATAAAAGAATAAATCAGTCTAAATATAAAGATAAGGGCATATTTATCAATTTATGATCCCCTTCCTTCCCCTCCCCTTGTGAACCAAACAAGAAATCTCCCCTCCCCTCCCCTGTCCTCCAACCAAACAAAACCCATGACCTCCCCTCCCCTTCCCTTCCTTCCCCTTAATTAACCTCCCCTCCCCTCCCCTCCATTGAACCAAACAAAGCCTAAGTAATTGCGATATATGTTTTCAGAAAATTAATAAACATAAAATTGAAATGACTTTTTATTTTTGGAATATATGAATCATAATAATCAAGTGTCCTGATAACTATTTATTAACTAATGTTCAATATTCAATGTTTAAAGAATTATGATATTTTTTAATAAAATTAATAAACTTAAATTTGAAATGACCTTGTTATTTTTGGAATATATGAACATTTGAATTCTAATAATCAATTGTTAATGGTATTGGAATGTGGGATAATTTTACGCTATAAAAAATAGATGTTAATAATTAACAATCGATTATTTAGCCGATTAGGAGGTAGCAATAATATTGATAAATTGAATATTGAATTCATGATAGTAAGGAAACAATAATATGAATATCAGATCAAGGTAACCAATGAGTAATTAATTTTGGCTATATCTATTACTAACACGATATATCTATCAATATTAGTACATTCGGCCAATATAATTAGCTTCAATATTAATGGTTTGCCTCATGTGACCCGACATGTATGCATCCGACCTCTATAGTGTGAACTCTTGTTACACTCTAAGATGTGTCTAATGAGACAAACACATTTAGATGGCCCCTGAAATGCGAAGGAACTTGACTCCATAACTTTCCCAGCGCCTTAAGAGGTTGAAGAATTCATCTACGTTGCGCATTGCATTTATTGTTTTTTTTTTTTTTGCCCGATTATGGATTGGGTTGACGAAGTAATTAAATTGAGTATTCAGTTACTTATATTTAAATCCACACCCGCAATGTATGCTCTGTCAACGCCGGGTATCATCATGATATGAGTCTGCAAACTGTAATTTATTTAATGTTTTTGTTTGATTCTTCCGTTATCTAGGATGCTTGGTAACCTAAGGTCCTATTTGGTAGGAAGTATTGAAAATTAGGCATAAAGATAAGGATTGGGATTGAGAAAATCTATTAAAAGAGTGTTTAATTAATATGAGAGATTGCTTCTTATATGGAATTAGCCAAAACCATGCGTGTGCGATTAGGGAATACCATGGGGAAAAGTAGCATTCCCTATTCCCATCTCTATGGGTTTGCCTAATTCCTTATAACAAACAATTACTCGAATTAAATACTATTTGAATAATTTTTTTCAATTGTAATCCCAATCCCTAGCCTTTAGTTTCAATGCTTCCTACCAAACAAGTTCTCAGAACTGACATATGGGGATGGGGGTTTGAGTCTCTGGACATGGTAACGTATGAGTTGTTTTTGAAGCTATTTATAGGTTATATCAGAATAGAGCAAGCTATTATTTGCATATTTATATAAGCTGCCGTACATTGAGTGTTGTGTTAAAAAAGTTGGTCAAAATATGCATGAAGGCTAGAATATGTCAAATAACATGGATTATATTTTCTGCCTTATATTTAAAGTTTTTTTTAACCTTTGAAAACTTTTATTGAGTAGTCTTCTTGGCTTGCCTCTATTGGAAAAAGTTGCCCTGATACAAGAAAGCAATATGATGTACTACATTCTCGATCGACGAAGAGAGTTCTTATGATTAAATGCCGTTGGTTATTATTTATTATTTGTATACTATGATTGTTAATTTTTTTTCAGTAGTTACAATATTTTTAAACGATTGGAATCTTATCAGTGATGCAAATAGGATATATTGCATGCTTTATTACTAGATTAATATTTTTAATTCTAATTTTAAATTATAAATATGATTTGTTATGCTATACCATATGAAATGGAAAAGGTGCATGTTTTAATTTTGATCCTTTATAGTTGATTGTAATGTTAATATAATATCCGTCTAACGCTATTTCACTTGTCATATAATCTGGATTTTACTGAGGGATTGGACCTGCTAATAGAGAAGGTGAAAATTTGCATGCATTTGATCTTGATTATGAAACTTCGCTTGCATCCTGTTGTTTCGTCTGTATGCACATAGTCAAAGGTAAGGGAATCTGATCATTTTTTTTTCCAGTAGAGGAAACATTAAGAAGTCTATTATAGAGCGAAGTTGCCCTAGTTGAAGCCAAAGCAGAGTTTTGGAATTTTCTTAGTTACTGAACAAACTTTTTGTTCATCTAATTTGGATCTTTTTTTTTTTCTTCTGAGTAATTTAATTTGGATCTTATCAGTTATGCAGTCACATCCTCGAGTTTTTTAATGCTTTGGCCTCTTTGTCATTCCTCGATAATGAAAAACTTGGATAAGTATGATGGGAAATATGATCCATGGTCTGTGTAGTCGTAAGTATACTTGCTGATGTTTTTAGAGATCCTTCTCAGTTGTCTTTAGTTTTGCAAATTTTTGTTAAATTTACTTTCCTTCAAAGATGCAACTTCATGCGTTTCTATCATGTTATTGCAAATCGGATAGGACAGTAAAGAAAGGTCATCAAATGGGTATGCATTAGAAGGTTAGTTACTCGTGGACATTATTAACTTTTAACATTTTCTTTACCGTTGTCATTATTTCCCGTATTTTTGTTAATGTTTCTTCAAAGCAGCAATATCATATATTGCTGACAGTTTATCTGACAAACGAAATGGCAGTAATTACAAGCAGTAAAGCAAAGTGATACAAAGTATTCCGTAATATGATGGCAATTATATGTGGTGTGAGATTAGGTTGATGGTTTCTTGTATCAGTGATGTTTTCTCAATATTATCTTCCAAATGAAGACAAGAATGTGATGATCCAGATACTTAATGCATTCGGTGATACTTTGTCTATGTATTCTTCTTCCGATGCAATGCTGCGGTATATCTCATGGACAAAACACCTCATATAAATGATACTACCTCCGGCTCTAAATATAAGAGCTAGTTGATTAATTTGAGTAGATTAAGAAAATAAGTTAAGTTGGTTGTTTGTTATAAATATGTGTTGTCTTTTCTAAAATATCCTTGCTAATCTAATTTATTGATTAGAACTACCACTATTAGAAAGACTATCTTAGAAAAAAAAATAGATAAATATGAGAGACAAAATGGATTGAGTTCTTATATTTAAGATCAAAATAAAAATCAAAAGAGGTCTTATATTAAGGACCGGAGGCAATATATACTTTTCCAATTGCACTCATAGAAATTGATGATATATGCTGCCGTAGAAACTCATATAGTCTATTGCAATTGCACTTGATGTTCTAACTAACTCCCATCATGTCAAGAGTTTCTCTTCTAAAAGATCAATGAAGGAACCGGAGAGTCATTGTGAGGGTTATTAAGAGTTCTGAAAGGAATCATATGCAGTATTTGATTGGTAAATTTGATCTGTAAATCATGTTTGAATCATTAAATTACACCATTTCTGCAATCGCTAATTTTTGTATCTAATTATGAACATTAGCTATTTAGTAGCTGAGTACAATTTTTGTAGTGTTTTTTTTTTTAATTTATGATGGATGTTCAATAAATTAGTTTAAGTTTCCGAGGATGTGATAGTGAATTAGTTGTTTTGTACCATGTTTTGTCTTAATATTCCTAATTTTTGCTCCTTATGCAACGCACGGATATCTGGTGCTAGTTTAATTTGTGGCGGGTCCAAATCAAGATCTAAAATTGTTGTAAGAAGTATGTGCATATCAATAAAAAAATAAATAATAATACAAAGGTATACAATAAATTAAAGATACATTTTTAAATTGGAGTTTAATGTTAATATTTTTTTGAGTTTTTCATCTATTCTAGTATATTTCAAATTAAAATACAGGAAATGCATATATATGACATTCAAATCCAATAATCCAAAAGTCTGATTGGTAAGAAGAATTGGTTGGAATAGAAAGGAATGGAATGAAGAATTTTCAAGTGAGAACATGTTTGGTAAGGAATGGAATAAAAAATGATGTGGTGAAAAACTTTATGTTTGGTTAGATAAATTTAGGTTGCAAAATTGAGCCATTTTGTTTTATTCACATTACCCTCAATAAGAGAATGTAATATTATTAAATAAAAAAAATACTTTTCAAACTTATAGAATAATAATATTATTAAAAACTCAATAATTCAAGAAAAATAAATGAATAAAAATTACAATAAATAATATAAAATTTTTCCTTATCATTATCTAATTTTATATTTATATTTAATTATTCACAACGAATTACAATAATTTTACTATTGATAATATTTTAATAAATTTTACCTACACCCCTGAAATGAGCATAATTTATAGGGAAAACAGATATTTTGATGACTTGACACGCTGAGAATAACTAAAAATTTCTCTAAGTGTGATTGAAAAATTTAACATATTAGATATGGGAAATAAACTTACAGGCTTGTTTTGTTTCTTGTTTCGAAAGCAATTTTTTATTTTTAAAACAAAAAAAAAACTTGTTTGATAATTTGTTTTTAGTTGATTATTTTAAAAAAACACAAAAAACAATAACACATTTTTAAAAAATAAAAAACCAAAACAACTTTTACATGTTATCTCATTTTTGTTTGTGTTTTTTATTTTTTGTTTTGAAAAATCTTAAAAAATCTTCTTCTCTTCTTACCTACCATCTGGCAAAATCTATCACTTGCTATGGGTGATTTTTTCTGCCTCTTTTTTCAAAGGATGATTTTTTTAAAAAAATTATTATCCAATCTCTCCACTGCTCATAGCCTCATAAGGCATCCCAAAACTCAATTTTACAGTCGCCTCAAATCACCAAAAGATGAGCAAACCCATGAATGCAACTGTTATACCAATGTCCGCTTACAATTACAAAGATGTGCACTCCCGGCGTCGCTGGCGCTGCATGGCTTAATAGTACCAGAGGGAGAAATTTAGCAACGCCCCGGAATTTTTCTGGCATAGGCATCGGGTCGCTGTTAACAACCCCTAATTCCAGAAACGACGCATAATTACAGAATCGCCCTTTTTTATTAATTTTAAATTTTAAAAATAATTATTTCATGTAAATATATAATAAAATAAGATAAAATATATTACACAGAAAATTGGGGGAAAATATTCCATTAAAAATTTTGAAAAATCTTCTTCTCTTCTCAGCTGCTATCCAGCAACATCTATCACCTGTCAAGTGTGATTTTCTGTGACTCTTTTCTCAAACATGATTTTTTAAAATTATTATCTAAACAAATTCTTTTATTTGTTGTTTTCACAACTTGTCCTAAGAAACAATTTTATAAAATTGTTTTGAGCACAAAAAAAACAAAGAACAAAAACAAAAATGCCCTTAATTATTGTCATTTTTAGATATCCCACTTGCAATATCTAGAGAAAAAAGATATTTCGATGAAAGTATCAGTCATGAAATCACACATATTAGTTTTGGGAAACCATGGCTCTGGAGAGAGATCATGGCTCAGGGAAAACCACCGGAACACAATCTTTTTTACAATCAATTTTTCCACCTAACGCAAGGAGGAAAAATTATTTCTTCTAACCCGAAGAATAGCAGAATCATCAACTGGTTTGTGCACTCTTACTCCATCCTTATCAATGATCTTGACACCATAGTTTTCTGACTTCACAATCCGCCTGGATTTCAGTTCCGCCATGCAATCATCCACCAAACGAATTGCTTCTTCCAGTGACATTCCGCTTTTGTAGCGATCGACCAACATTCGGAGTCCATAATAGCGGCCATCACCATCAAAAACTCCCTTCTTAGCCGTTTTAAGTGAAGCAGTGCAGTCAATATGGTAAAAGGAAGGGCCTGTCCCTTCGTCATAGCCCGCAACCAGCATGCTCACTCTCTCAACCTAACCAAAATTCACGCAGGAATTAACTCATCATCCATTGTTCAGGCGATACATTGCAGAGAACAAATTTAAGCAAGCTTCCAAACTTAGCTGATCTCCCATAGTGATCAATAACAACCTATCACAGGCGTACCATATCGCTTCTAAATTGTACATAAAAACAACTTTAGCTAGAGGAGCTTCAAGAATAAATTTTTTGTCTCACTTTTCTAGGGATTGGGATTGGTAATGAAACAGATAGTGCCGTTGCTCCTCATGCCATTGAAATAAATAAAAAAATTTTATGCCACAGCAAAGAAAATAAAAATAGAAAGGGGCTTCCTTGTACAGAAACAACCACAGATTAAATCATTAAGAAGCAATGGAGCCCTAATGCCGGCCCCTGAAGGAGGACCTGCTCGGACATCATTATTCATTCAGCTATCTGCTCATTGAGGGAAATCACATCCTAATGGTCCACAGATCAAACAATCCCCGAAGCCCCTTATCCCGGTGGTAGGACATAGAAAAAAGAGCACAAAACCACAGCCATAATCGTTAAGTTTATATAGGAATTGTGTTTACTTCAGGTGGCACAGATGCAATTATTCATAAAGGACTAGCATCAAACGGACTTCACTGCAACAGCTCAGAAAAATATTTCCAGGCATTCATAAAGGAATACAACACTCTGACCGAGCAAGTAAAGATATCTCATACATGAAAGCTTGCTTTATTAACAATGAACGATACAGAGACTACCATACCACGTCACTACTGAAGCAATTCTTCCATTGAGTAAGGGAACATCACAAGGAATTCTAAAATTTCAAGATCATCTTCCACCCAGCGTGGGTGCCAGGCGCTGTACCCTACACATACATGCAATACCAAAACTCCAGAATTCACTTGTCAAAAATAATGGGGGAATTTAAACAGGCAGTTGGTGTCAACACAAAATTGAAACCCATAAATTTTAAGGCTAAAAGCTGAAACCCGAACCCAAGAACCTAAAATTAATCAAAACAGTCACACGAAGAATAATAAGCAGGGATTGGAAAAAGGGAATCCTCACCTCGCCTTTGCGCAAAGCAGCGTCGAGCTCGCCACGGATGAATCTGGCGGTGGCGAGAGTGGTCCAAGGGATCCCATCCCCCTGAGACTGAGCCAACTTCTCCTTTATGGAATCCATGAACGGATACCTGCATCAATACGAGTGAATATCACAAAACAAAAATCACTCAAAAAACGAAGAAACCCTAACATCAAACGAGAGAGAAGGTGGAACCTGTCCCCAGGATAACCAATAGCGGCGATGAGCTTGTGAGAATCGAGGACCGTGATCTTGTCCGCGGTGGTATTGGGACTAACGCATCCTAACCCCGTCGCCGCATCCGCCGCCACAATCACGAAGCCATCTCCTACAAGTCCGAATACGCACTCCGTCATCTTGGTCATCCTTCTGAAATCACTTATGGTCTCCATTTTCTTGATCCGCTGCCTTTGATCTCCTTCGCTCCTTTTATTTCCCTCCGAGGCCTCCTTTGTTCTCCGGGGCGAAGGAGCCTTCGTGCACAACAGGTTGGGTAGCAACAAGTTCGGTTCGGGTTGATCCAACGGTGGATGCTGCCAATCCGCGCAGTCGGGCCAGGTTACAAATAATTCATTTTTCTCTTTCTTTTTTTTTTTTTTGGGATAACATAGAGAATCCTCCTCAAGATTCTACTAGATCGCCAGCAACATTATCGCGATCAGAAGCCAAAATAGAAGACAACTCAGTAGGAGTAACAGTGACAATATGAAAGCCAGAAATAGCATCAAGACCCCTTTTCGATCGATTGCACTCCCTGTTTGCATGATCAATTCTCACGTTCCATTGCCTATTTGGAAGACCTCCGATTTCACAAAGAACAGCATAATCAGCGCGGCATTCCTCCGGAGTAGCATTAATTAATTCTACTGCAATGGACGCATCAGATTCAAGCACAACATTACGGTACCCAGCATCCCATGCAACTTTGAGTCCATGTAAGCATGCCCATAACTCAGCGGACATCGCGTCTCCCTCATTAAGCTTAAAGATGAACCCGCGTAGAAAATCACCGGCAGGATTACGGATGAGTCCTCCACAAGCGCATGAGCCCGTGAGGGTCGAGAAAGCTCTGTCAACATTTAGTTTGACCCACCCTTGATCCGGTGGTTGCCACTTGATGTCGAGGGGATATGTTGGCGCACTCCTTGAATCGGAACACCCCCAAGATGTTTTTGAACCGTATCAAGGTTGCTGAGAAGAGCTCTGGTATTAGCAATGATTGTTTCATTATTCACCTGCTTCTTTTTTCCAGCATAACCATGGTGGAAAAATCACTTTTTAAATTCTTTCCCCCAACCCGAATAGCACAATGCTAACTGGTTTGCATACTCTTGCTCCATTCTCATCAAGGATCTTGACACCATAGTATGGTGACGTCACAACCCGCCTGGATTTCAGTTCCACCATGCAATCATCAACCAAACGAATTGCTTCTTCCAGTAGCATTCCGCGTTGGTAGCGACTATACAACATTTCGAGTGCGTAATAGCAGCCCATCACCATCGGAAGCTCCCTTCTTAACCTTTCCAAGTGCAGCAGAGAAGTAGGGAAGAGCCTGTCCCTTCGTCATAGTAACTTGAAAATTACTTTGTGCTGCGAAGTTAATATATATATATATATATATCTCTCTCTCTCTCTCTATAGGCAAAGGTACAAGTTACATTTTCCTTGTTTAAATTTTGAAATATTTATCTGAAATTTGAGACTGAGGAAGAATATTGTGGGAAGAAGTGGTGAAGATGATGAGAGTAAGAGGACGAGAGAGAGAGAGAGAGAGAGAGAGAGAGAGATTCTGAGAAACAACCAATGAGGAAAGGCTCTTGTTGTTCAGGTTTTATGCAAGAGAAGCATATTGAAACAATGATTTGGCCTCCACCCCCTCCTATGCATTCTCAATTATTATGTGTACATTTTCGTGTCCTTTCGTATTTTTTAATTTTTTGTATTGTACACAACGTGGGGCATGCATAGGCACGTGTCTATATCTATATATATAGATGTGGGTGGGCACCATATGTTTGTCGTACAGAATCCAGAAAATGGTTGGACTGAGACTTGTGAATATTATGAATTTTCTCTTAGTTGCCTTAGTGTATATTTGGTTTTCTGCTGATTTTGATGGAAGAAGCAACTTTTGAGTTGCAAAACACAGGTTTGATTGTTTTCAAGGAAAAACCAAATACATCCAATAGGTGACGTCCAAGTCTTCTTAAATGGGAAGAAAAATGTCACAAGAAGATGTTTAACTTGACGAGACTAAAGAGCAAAGTTGTTAGTGTATTCTAATACACCTTAAAAAAGAGCACGAGATGAGAGCAATGAGAGAATTTTTGCTCATTACAATGTTCAGGTTTTCTTATAGTTCAACTTGCTGCAGATTACATTTTCATACTAAAATTTAAAGTATTATTCTCCTTTTGTCCTTAATATGGGGGCTAAATCACTAATTTATAAAAATTAGTAAAATTAATTTAGATAGTTATTTGTAAAATTGTGTATTATTGATGATTTTCTAAAATGTCCTTTTTAATCATTCATATTGAATTTGATATAAACCCCATAATATGTATATGCAATCAGTATGGATAATTTGAAAAAAAAATTATAAATTTAGGAGACATATATACTAGACTGAGATTTTATATTTATGATTAAAATAAACTTATAACTAGCTCATATATTTAAAAGTAGAGCGAGTACTTTGGTTTTTGCGAAAAAATAATAGAAGTGTGATGATAATCGGAGTCATTTTCTGAATATTGATGTATGAATTAAGGGGAAGTGGTCCCTGGCAGACATGGATAATCAAAGCTGGGTGCATGCACGGATTGTGGATGGATGCTTTAGGATGCGGGCTGATTAACTTGTGATAATGACAGCATCAGGATCAAATAACTGCTCCATCTTATGTGGGCATCTAAATTGTAAAGTAATGTGGTGGATGCTTGTGCTTCATGATACAACCAACCTCATCATTTCAAATGCCACATCATATCGCCACAAAAGCTTTGTTCCATTCCAACTCATAACCCCTTCTCTTCTGTCTACTACCATACCTTTCCCACCTTTCATTTCTTCATAATCCTATTTCTCCTCACCTGAGTTTTCTTCTTCCCAGTGTTTTGTCTGTTGCTAAAAATTACAACCACGAGCATTATCGATCGAGCAATAACTTTTATCCACATTAGAATTCATCATAATTCTTTGTATTTTTTAAATATAATTTTAAAGACGTGTCATATGAAATTTGAAAAATTAATAGTCATATTCATACCTTATAAGAAGTGTAACCTACTAGAGTTTTTGTATGTTAAGTTCGTAACCCTTTTTCATCGAAAGTACACGTTTCTTACTAGGGAAGAAGATAAGCTGTCTGAAATATAACAAAACCCATTTTGCTTTCCCAGAAATGAAGATGTGACTCTTAAAAGTCCAAAGACAGTGGTTGAGAGGCCATCCACTTGGTCTTTTTGTTCGTCAGATAGGCTCCTCAATCTTATACTTTTGGAATTTAGGGTTTGTTTCAATCGTTAGCAATGTCAATTTGTGAGAAATGGGGTCAAACAAATAGAAACAGGATAACTTTCTTTATGTTCGTTATTCCAAAGTTTGAAAAATACGCATTAGTCTCCCGTTTCATAAGTCAAGGCGTCAAGCCTTAGTTTTAGAAATCATTAGACCAATGGGCTGCGTTGCTGGATCCATAGAATGAGGGTTAGGCCAAGTTCGAATGATGGGGATTTAAGCCTTGTCTCTTCGGCTCCAAGCCCCAGTCCCTCCCCTCTCGAGTTTGTTTGTTTCAGAAACGGACAAGCAAGCTTGATACAACAATGCAGACGCGGAGAGCTTCTACAAGTCTCGCTCTTCAAAGCGGGAGCTCGAGTGTGAATGGTCAATGAAGTAACCTCCTTGGCTGTCATCATTGAAATTAGGCTTATATATCAGTTAAGGTTTCCAATTTTTATTCTAAACTTCAAATATCATAATCCAAAATTAAGTACTCCTCCTATACTTAATATTGAGAAGGGGGAGAAGAAATTGAGAAAGATGTTTAGGATGTTGTGAAAAAAAAATAAGTGATATTAACTAATTTAATTAATATCTTTATTTTACTCAAATTAGTTAATTAGATCTTATAATAAGAATTGAAAGAATATTTTAGCTCTAACTTGTTAGGAACAATCAAATTATACTCATTTACATCCCCCAAATTATTTACTTTAATAAAAAAAATTTCAAAATTCTTAAATATAAAATTATTATATTTTAAATCCTAAAATCTTATTTCAAGTTTAAACCTCAAAATTAAATGATAAAAAAAGTTGATAGTACCTCAAATATACATAAAAAAATAATTTAATCAGAAATTTCATAATATAAAGATTACATTTCTTACAAATAATGAGCTTTTAAGATAAAATAATTATTTTAAAATAGTAAGTCTAGCAACAAATAAAAATAAACCAATAAAAATGATCTACAAAATTAGTTCAAAAATACTACAATAATCAATCATCAAAACTCAACAATTGCTTCAAACTTTAGATTAAAAATTTTTTTCTGAATGACACAGAATTACTATTATTAGATAGATCGAATTGAGTAAAATAATCTTCATAAAATGAGTTTAATTGGAAAAAAAAAAAAGTCATTGTGCTTACCAAAAATATGTGCAAAAAAAATGAAAAACAGTAGGGAAGGAGGCTACTTTCTCACCCCTAAAAACTTGGGATAAATTAGAGTTAAAAACCCTATTTTAAAATGGAGAAAATGATGACTTCAAACCCTTTTTTTTAATTTTCACCCTTTTTCTTTTTTTGGTTGCTTTCATTATTTTTCTTAATAATTTCTTTTATTTTTAATTAATTTTTTCATAAATCATGTTTGAATAAAATCTCTTTACTCAGTTAATTATAAGATAAAATTACATTTATCATAAAATAATTATTCTAAATATTTAAATCTTAAGAACAAAAATTACAACATTGCATATCTCTACTTCATTGCCGTTGCACCACTTCTCTTGCATCTGTCCTAGATCCAACTATCAAACACACCCTGACTAAAAAGTCACCACACCCTGCACCTTCTCACTCCTCCGTTGACCACTGGGTATCAAACTACCATCCCCAGGTACGTTCCTAATTCTTCTTTTCTTTAATCCAAATTGTTGTATGTGCTAATATTTGGTTGTGATAGTTTTCTTTTTTAATAATTTCCGAGTGGTTGAGAAAAAAATTAATGCAAGATCTCGTAAAAATTACTTCATACAATATATAGTAATTTTAAAGTCTCATCCCCATCATAATTTCCATCCTAATCCATTATAGTTTGCATTCATACTAATTAGAATAAGTTTGAAAAAGAAAAAAAAAAAAGAACATTACTCCTCCTTCTTCTTCTTCATTCTTCTCTCCTCAGTTAATTTCCATCAAATCAAG